ACATCGTCGCTTGACACCAAAAAAACTCAATGATTAGAAGACAGTCAACGTTCTCCCACTACCAAAATGGCCGCTTATTCTCCTTCTCAACGTTTGGTCCCAGAAAGTCCTGGATAATGCTGGCCAGACTCTATGCGAGACTGGAAACAACATATTTTCTTGGTCCGCACAAAAGATCCGCCATTTTCCCGGCTAACAATAGCTTCATGACGTCATGACTGTCCTAATTTATCGGGATATTCCGGACTGATTAGAGGCATTGTTTTCTATTGGGTATCGAGCCATTCATGTGAGATCATACGAGAGCTGCTACCCGATTTCAATGACAAGTCACAAAACTGAGACACCTAATTACATGTAAAGGTTACGAACTAGGAGCTGGTCAAGTTGTGAATGAGTGATTCTATCACTGAATAACATTGAAGCTAAAGAATGTGATGTCACATAGTACCCCAAGGTGAAGTGAGACAATTTTTTTACGCAACAAACCTTGACTAACGCTGCACCAGCATGAATACCATACGCTCTCTGGAAAGCCCCTTTAAATTTCCTTACTTGATACCTGAACAGCAGATGAAACAACTGAGTCAACTTACAAACAATTAGTCAATTTACAAACAATTACGTAAAAAATTTAATTGAATATCGTGCCAATCAGCAATTCATTCTCGTGCAACATCACAGCATTCAGAGCACACCCGCTGAAGAATGCAGTTTAGGCAGTCGAAAACTTGTGTTTTAAAATATTTTTAGCGAGAGAACGTTTCAAACTATTATCATTTTTTCTTCATAAGCCTTCAAAACAAATGTCTATCTTTGTAACTCCCTCGTTGTCCTGGACTGAAACGAATGTAGAGCTTGCAATATTTTCTGAATAAACCCACGTGATTTTTTTAGCCAATCAGGAGGTATACCAAACAAAGCGTGTCACGCGCTATTTAAGTAGCTAAATCGTGATTGGTTTAGACTTGCACATGATTTCGGCAATCCTATGTGAAAAGGTTTTTCTACCCATAGATGAACAAGGTTTCAGTGAGTTGTGGCATTAGCGAGCAAAATGAATTCAATCAAGGTTCTTTACCTTTTTAACTGGCTTCGTTTCAAAGCGGCCAACACATCAATATCCGTACTACTGAAGTCTACAATGATTATGTTTACATGAGGATCGCCTGTCTCTAAGTAGAGCTGGAAAATAAACAAAAACCAGGTCAAACTTGCTCTGGACAATACTGGTAAAATGAAAAAAAAACTGATAATTGACCAAGTAGTGTTTAAACTTTCCGTCTATAGCATTTAGACTCAAATTCAATTGCTTCTTACCTCGACCATGTTGTCAATAAAATGCTGAACCCACTTTCCTTGGTTCTTGACTGCATAAAACAGAAACGCGAGAAAAACGAAAATTGAATTAGCTCAAACAGAAGTTTAAAATTCACAATTTAGTTGCAGCATTGTAAAGTTCTGGCCTAAACGAATGAACTTGTAGCTAAAGTATCATAGTAAAATTATTGTCAAATTATTATCAATAAATTGTTCAGTAACGCCAAAGAATCTATTAAAAGGCTGGTTCTTAACAGAGGAAAGCGTTAAAATAAGAAGACGAGGACACCTGAACATAGGGTAACGACATACACAAGCACAGAATAAAGGGGATTTTGGATACCAGATATTTTCATCAAATAAATACGTGGCTTTGAAGACGAGAATTATTACCAGCCCTCCTCAATTGTTAAACAATACGGCGGAGTCTGCCTTGTTGTTTCCGATGTTTTCGCAGAGGTCTGGGTCGAACTGAGTTATGACTGGTTGACTAGCTCGTGCTTAAGCTTGTACTTGTGTCACCGACGTTCTCACTGGGACATAAGCATAACATAGTAGGAGCGGATCCAGGATTTTTCTCAGGAGGGGATGCACCACTAAGGAATGGAATAACTGACTGGTGAGGTAAACAAATTTTAAAAGTGATTACGAAGAAGGCTTCATCCCAGGGAGGGGTGCGCACCCCCTGCACCCTCCCCCTAAATCCGCTCCTGCATAGGCATAACGAGAACGATACATGTGCGGTCTCCTTATGCTTATGCTTATGTCCAGCTGTCCTTACTTGCTAATGCTAATGCTAATGAGCGAATGAAAACAAGCCGTTTAAGAATCCAAGACCTCGCGTGAATAGGGTGCGTCAGGGCACGCGCGAATAACTGGCTCAACAAGTTACTTAACAGTTAATGTATTTACTAACCTGGGATAATGATATGCACCGTGGAGTGTTGATTCAACACAAACGCTTTTGGTAAACAGAATTCCGTGCTGCCGATTTTCTGATATATATACTGTGACAAGCGAACAGATGAATCTACAAAATGAAAACCACAAAATAGCGGCAAAAATATACATTTTCGATTCTGCTTTGGTGAAAGGAAAAGTGTTATCGTTGTTTCACGTGTTCAATTAAAGCACTCTTGATACTTCTGATCACAACACAACGGAAGATTCATACAATAATGAGCTGCGGAAAACGTCTCGTACAAAATTGATGTTTCAAAGGATCAGTGTAAAGTTTATTTTGTACGCGAGGCGAGTTTTAACACAGAGTGGAAGGTGATTGAAAGGCAACTTTATTCCATTTCGTCGAGGCCATGGGTAAATAATGCTCTTCCGAAAATCTCCGAAGAGTGGAAGAGGCCCCGATTCTTAGCGTGCAAAAGATCGAAGAAAGATCATGCTTCGGAAAATGCTGAACTAGTGATTTCTAGTTATCGATATTTCTTCTCTTTTCACAGTATTTCTTTTCATCAGTTACACAGTGACACAAATAATTTAGAATTAATTTCAATTTCGATAACAACCACTCACTTCTTCCCTCGACATTCAGCTCCTGCAAAGAAAGACAATGTAATTGTGAGTTCACAACAGCTGAGCTGAAGACAGATCAAAAATGTTTTCCAAACGACGTTGGTAATGCAGTATTGACTTACCAGTTCAATTAGATATCTGTCTCCTTTCATAACATCGTGATTTTCTTCCACATTCACGATACCTTTCAAGGAGTATTTACTGTTGAGTTACAAGAAACGAGAACAGCGAGTTAGTGATTAGGGAAAAATGGTCAAATGAGCCAATCAGAGCACCGGTTACAACGCATACGGGTTATTTCAAAAATGACGCCGATGCTAAATAATAGAGGGTTGTTAACCGCCAGTTGAATTTGAAAATTAAGTAATTTAGTTTGCTTATAGAGATAGGGTACTTGACATTGTTCGACGTAAACATTTTTGTCACGCATGACATGACGTTTTCGTTAGAATTCTTACCTGTTACTAGCTTTCTTCAGTGCGCGCATGTATCGATTCACGACACTTATCGCCACCTGTGTAGTAAAAACAAAACATTCTCACCAACAATAAACATATCTTCGTTCCAACTTAATCGTTTAAACTTTTTGCATCGTTTTGATGTCATTTTTATTTACCTGAGACAACTTTTTTTTTTGATACTTGCAGAGCAAAACGCAAAGATTCTCCCTCTCTTAAACGGCGACCGCAGGAAAACGCGTAATTGCGCAATGCGCAAAAAAGTACACCAAATGCACAAAGCGAGTACTCGAGTGTTCCGATAGCGAAATAAATTTTAGTGCCATTAAAATGTAAAAGTAAAGGCGCAAAGTCAGGGTACTTACGTCAGTGTTTAGCAGCAGATTTCCATCGCTGGCGCACTTAGTCCTGTTCTGATGAAAAATCCAGCCATTGTAATCTGGAACCCTCACTATGTTCGGTATCTTCATTTTGACTCCAAATTTCCTGAACACAGCCTCGGTCAGGGAGCGCGAATTGACACGATGGTTGTAGATTTGCACGGCATAGATCATCTTGCGCACGAACTCCCTTGCCGCGTTCATCCTCGTCATTTGATCGTCTTGCTTATCAACGGGGTAAAACTGGATGCGTCCTCCGTGTTGCTGTGAGTTGCTATAGCTCGAGTTCTGTCCTCTCTCTAGGTGCGCATTGAACAAGCCATATCCAAAGAAATTATGACGCCTGCTCGGCTCAAGGTTGTCGTCGATTCTGCTCACTGCAAGAGTATTGCGGGACGACCCCGCAGGATTGACCCCATTTGATGCGATACCACGATTGGGTGCGCGTACCACAGTGCTATTAGTATCGATGGTCAACAGTTTACGCCGAGTTCCTATTGAACTATCTTCTCGATTTGACTGGATTGTCGTCAAATCACGTGATGCTTGATCATGTGATCTACCAGGCGCAGCTGTTTCGATGTCACGTACATCTTCCCGTTTTGATCCAACTGGTAAAGCCTGTGGAGGCCTGCTATTCCTGCCTTTATCTCTCCCTTTCCTGTCCTTACTTTTCTCAGGGGACTCTTCCTTCTTTGAAGAGCTCCTTTTCGTTCTTTTATTAGAAGCTGTGATCGTCTTTTTCCGCTTCGCTTTTTTCTTCATTTCAAACATTTTTTCTTGGTTATGGTTTGGTGAAGAATGCGCCTGCTTGGTAGGATGAGCTTCCTTTGATGACTGAGTGGAATCTTCAACTTCTTGACTCAGTCTCTTAATATCCCTCAAGTCCATTTGCGTTTCAAGCAACTGTTCTTCCGCTTGCTCTCTTTCCTCCGCACTTTTCGCGAACGACAACGGTAAAAACGCTTTACCGTCACGAAATACAGCGATGCTTCCATTCTCGTAGAGACTTCGATTCGACTTCAGTTTAGGTGGAAGAGAACCAACTTGGCTGCCATGTGAGTCCTTGACCCTTCGTCGCACGCATTGGTCGTATTGTTTCATGTGCATCAGATCAGAATAATCATTCGGATAAAGCGCAGTATCGTGAATTAGCTTCACGCCATCATAACGCCTCAGTTTGAAGTCCACTAAATAACTAGGACTGTACGGACAACTAGGGAATATCTTCTCGATGTCACGCTCGTCCACTAACTTCGCCATGTGCGCCTTGTCACGCAAGTCGTCCGATCCAACTCTGAAAAAATTCGGGTCAAGTGTAACTCTCGAAGTTCTGTAATGAGAATGACTTGGAAGGTCCTGCGGTATAAATTCAGCATACTCAGTTACATCTTTTGGGGCTTTGACGTCGTCGATAACTGCCGAGATTGAGGAACCAGACAAGTGTCTGAAATGATTCAAACCTGGAATTTTCCATCCGACCAAGATGTGATCTTGTAGGTTGGCCTGTTTATGCAACGCTTCAATGAAGTATTTTTGCCCTTTATGAAGGAAAACAGGACGGGAGAGCTGAGTTTTGTACTTTGTAAACTGCCCGATTTTAGTTTTAAACGTGCCACTGAGAAGAGTGCGATTTCCAACCCAAGCAATGAGTTTGACTTTCGAAGGATTTTCATCTGAGCTTAACCAGAGTTCAGAACTGTCATCTGAAGATATAGCGAAAGTGTATTTTCCTGAAGAAATAAAAATATATAAAAAAGAAAACTTAGTGATTATTCTAAAGAAGAAGAAGAAGAAGAAGAAGAAGAAGAAGAAGAAGCAGAAGAAGAAGCAGAAGAAGACGCAGAAGAAGAAGCAGAAGAAGAAGCAGAAGCAGAAGCAGAAGTAGAAGTAGAAGAAGAAGAAGAAGAAGAAGACGCAGAAGAAGAAGCAGAAGCAGAAGTAGAAGTAGAATTAGAAGTAGAAGAAGAAGAAGAAGCAGATGAAGAAGCAGAAGAAGACGCAGAAGAAGAAGCAGAAGAAGAAGAAGCAGAAGCAGAAGCAGAAGTAGAAGTAGAAGAAGAAGAAGAAGAAGAAGAAGAAGAAGAAGAAGAAGAAGAAGAAGAAGAAGAAGAAGAACTTTATTTAAAGGAGAACGGAAGGCTAGGAGTCGTATTTTACATGGGAGCTTAACACTATTGCAATAGCTTAGATTTGGAGTAAAAAGCAAGAAAAAGTGAATTTTGCCCTTCGAAAGTGACGAAAAGAGTCCAAAAGCAATCGTCATTTTTCAATTTGAACGTCCGCCATTTTGGACATCTTTCCTTCCGGTTAATTCCATAAAAGGAATGCCCGCCGCCATGTTATGACATCACTGCGCACATGCATTTCATGTCAACAAAATTTGTGAAGAATCTTGTGTCGAAACTGCATTTAGCTTAGATTATGGCTGAGATCGAGCCTTTTTCTTTTGAACCTATGCGAGGCAGTTCGAAGTCAGAGGAAGACGATGTTCACGAGAGTCGAGATGAGAGCTGAAGAGGAAATACATCGTGGTGTGTATGCGAGTGTCGTGTGAACTGGGAAGTGCAATAAGAGAAAGAATGTTTACGCTGCAAGGAGATCGAGGAAGCCGTACATATAATAAAATTTCAGGTGAATAGTACTTTTGTATTCAGCAGATGTTAATTATTTTGGCACTAGGAAGCTAATAAACAGCCATGGACTCGGTAGGAAAAAGTGTTGTTTGATTTAAATTATTTATTTCGTATTTTGTCGTGGCGTGCGTGGCAGGCTCAAATGACAGCGAAATGGTTGCGATATAACTTGTTTATAT